AATTTGTTTAAGTTGTATATAGAAGAGAAATTACATGCTCATATTTTATCATTCTGTGATTTCTACTACTCCAGTACTTCACTATGGGTAAAATCTAGACTTTTACAAAAGATCTGATTCAAAGCTTAAATTAAGAGGAAAATTCTACTTGCTGTCAGTTTGGGGATCTCATTCAAAGCTAGATATATATTTGACAGGTCAGAGATCAGGCTGGAGCCCAGTAGAGAGCAGTTATCTCATTCTGTGATGCTACTAATATTTCAAAATTATGTTTGTTCAGATTCTGGATGAAAATCAAATGCAATTCTCTCCATAAAAGAGAAAGGCTCTTCAGCTCTAACTGCTAGTCTCTCTAACTCTAGAACCCAGAAATTCGAAGATGCAGTGGAAGCAGTGGGCTCTTGGCCCCTGTGGCCCAAGGTGATCTATGCAGCACAGATAGGACGGAGTCACAACCTCAGTGTCTCTGCAGAGTGTAGCTGAAATTCACACACTCACCAAGAGAAGCCTGGGAATGGCTAAGATTGGCAGTGTTGGCATGCTGCTGTCAGACTTACAAAGGCAGCATGTCTTGGTCCTACCCTTGGGATATAGATCCTGAAATAAAATACTTGGGATTGAATTTGAAACCAGCTTCTGAAATCGTGCTTTGACTCCTGAATCTTCAAATCCTAAGTTACAGCCACTTCATTTTTGAAGGTGAAAATGGGTGCTAGGGGTTTCTGTCAAGAAAATCTAGTAACTGCATATTTAGCTTATAAAAGATCATCACTTCAAGTCTTTGAAGATTTAGAAACTTGATGTCATCTTCACCTGGAGGGGCTAAAAAAATTGTATAAATGTGAATGCAAATGTGTTGGGAAAATAGTTACAGCCTAAGTGAGGCATATATGGAGCCCTTTTCTTCACACACAGCATGACCTCCAGGAGTCCAGAAACAAGGGCTTCCCTTCTCAGCCACAGCCCAGGATCTGGGACCACATGCAGGTTTGATTGTTGCTTTGAGGGCAGCAATCCAACCTGTTTGGGTATTGCCTACCCATGCTACACAGATCTGCACCCCTCTGGAGGCACAATGCCAAAGGAAACCAATGTACCTGCTAAGCATCTTGTAAGTTAAAGGAAAATGAGCTTACATGAGACAAGACTTGTGTCATTAATGTGTCATTTCTTCTCTCCTGTGCAGTGGGAATGAGGGAACACAGCTCTACAGTCATCCTACACTGTCTGAGTCACCAGCTGAGCCCATTTGCATTATCCCATATGTTCAGCTTTTGGGGAGAAGAGCTGTGCATTGGTAAGAGCAGACTAACCTTCCTCTTCCAAAGCTGGCATATGAGGATTTGGATAAGCATGTTTTTAACTGAAAAGCAATTAACTTGCCACTCTTTTAGAAGCAAAAGATATCTTATTCTCTTTCTTCCTGCAGTCTGATAGCATTATTTGTTCTTTGCATTTAATATGATTATGTCCAACTACTCCAGGGTGCACGAAGCTCCAAAGAGCAGAAAATTGAATATATTTTTTCAAATTACTCCCAATGTTGCCTAAATGCAGCAGAGAAATGTACTATAAAGTCTCAGTAAAAAATAATATATACTTGAGCAGAACTTTTTTCTGCCTATTTCAGAGGTGCCTAATCTTTTAAACAATTAGACACATCAGAACATTTAGATTGGCTTATTTTTGGCAAGTTATCAACTTCATGCTCAACAAATACTGCCACAAAATAGTTTCTGTCAGTGAAGACAAAATGTGGAAATGGATAGCATAGGAGGAACCATATATTCCTGCATCATTCTTCCTCCTACTGCTGCTGAATTTTGGAATGTAACATCCACCATTGCTGTGATGGCTCCTCTGCCTGCCATAGAGCATTCAGACTGCGCTGTACTAAATGACCCATCTCCACCTATTGTGTTTCACAGCTGTTGTGCAGGAAAGATCAGACTCCCTGCACGAGGACTTTCTGGCTCGAATAATCAAAATCACTAATTTTTGTCTGATCTTTAAAAACTTTGATTCATTGCTTCTCTTTTTTTTCCTTTTCTCCTTTCCAGAGTTACCTACCTTCACCTATTGCATCATGTCACAGAATCACAGAATCTTCTGAGTTGAAAGAGACTCAGAAGGATCAGTAAGTCCAACTCTTAAGTGAATGGCCCACACAGGGGCGTTATTAGCTCCAGGCTCTAACTAACCAAGCTAGTCTATCAATCTCCTGATTTTACTTTCTGCAGTTGTACATAGTTTCTTCTTCTTGCCAGTCAGGAACATCATGCCACTACGGGGAGATACAATATAGGCATTGCAGGTTTCCCTTCATGTGTCTCCACATTGGTTTTACTGTACACAGCAGCCATGGCAACTTCACCTTTCACTGGAACCGTTTATGCTCTTAGATTTTCTGGTCCTTTGTTTCAAAGCTTTATTTAAGAAAATTAAATTTGAATAGCTTCTGATACCAAGATAAAGGGAAAGACAAATGAAGAGGACTCTAAAGCAAGTTCTTTCTATTCTTCTTCCAAATAATCCATTCTTTGATACTTATGAAGCATGCTGTGGTGCAGTACAACAGTATGACTTAAAAAAAAAGCCATTCAAAATGTTAAGAAAGAAGAAGAATATTTTATCATATATTAGATAAAAAATTGTCTTACAATAATAATTCGAGGGCATTTTATATTAAAGCACAGAAAAGACTCAATTTCTCTCTCTGTAAAAAAGTCTCTTAAGTCACTGAAAGTTCTCAAAAACTTTTCAAGGTCCCAACTGAGGAAAACAACAAAGTCAGTTACAGGAATCAATCAGCTATTCCTTCACCATAGAGGAATTGCTAGGATTTGATCTTGCCTTTTTTAAGCTTTTGAGATTCAATCACAGAAGTATTTTATTTCACCATTCATTTCAGAGTTTGTTTATTCTCAACGTGGGGAGTAGGGTGGGGAACTAACAATCAACACCAAATTTCAGAGAGATGGCATGACTTTGTAAAGGTTTTAAAACAAAGTGTTGTGTTCTGGAGAATTATCTTAATTCTAGATGTGGTACCACAGACAGCCCATGGCTTCAGAATCTGTGGCTAAACAGCATTTCAGCAAAACCAGATGTCAACAAACCATGGCAGTGACAGTGACTGAGAAATACTCAAGGGCAGAAAAGCTAATAGTGATGGAAAACCTGAATTAGCCCTGTGTAGACTGGAGAGTACTGGAGCAGGGCCCGGTATAGCCTTTTGCAGCACCATAAGCACTACTTAGATCAAGTAGCTGGCAAAGCCACAAGAGAAGTCACTCTTGGTTAGTCCTGAGAGCTGCACATGATCTGGCGTATGATGTAGTTACTGAAAAGCCTCTTAGTGCCGACAATATGCTTGAGCTTAAAAGCTCAAGGAATGGGAGCACAAAAACCAACCAAACCCAAAAGTTCAGTATAATAAATTTTAACTGCAGCAAAGAGAAATCTGTAAGTGTAAGAAAGCAAGGTAAGAAGAAGGAAGAAGAGTCAAAAAAAAAGGTTACTGTGTTTTCAAGAAGTTTGGACGCTACCTAAATAATTCTTATCAGAGTTTCAAAATCAACCTGTACAATCAGTCAGAAAAAACTTCAAAAAAATTTTCCCCTCTCTTTCATATAATATATAAATGATCACTTTCCCAGTCGTTTTAAGCAAAACATGGTGGTTCTACAACATTTCTTTTTATCTGATCACATTCCAACCTATGAAACATTGACTGCTGTTAAATATTAAGCACTGGTGCATATGGATCCCTTCTCATCCTGACTGGTACTGATTATCTGTATTGGTCTAGACTGATTCCCTCCTCTGAATGACTCCAACATCTTCTGGAGAGGTCTGAATACTGCTCAGACACTCAGAGGTTTCTCCAGTCCATAGAACAGCCTGGTCCAAAGCTCCGGGTCTAGACATGTCCCAACTTGGGAGGGTTCAGATTCAAAACTTAGACCTTGGAATTTCACTGCTTGTGCCCCCATGTCCTGCTGTTACTGGCCCTGGGAGCTGGAGGGCCCTTTTTTAGTGACCTGTCTCTTGTTGCTTATGTAGATGGGGCACAGTCCCACCTGGATCAGGAGCATGGATGCTATGTGGAGACCCCTGCTCCAGCAGCTGGAAAGAGGGTGTGCTGTGCTGGCAAGAGAGAGGATTTTAAAGATTCCTGATCTCTCCTGTGGCCATCTTTGCTTACATAAGCACAGGACTGTGTTTTGCCAAGAGCAGGTAAGAGGAAATTGAGTTGGTGGGGTATGGCTGTGAAATGCATCATGTTCTGCTTAGAATTGCATTGTCATTGAGGCAGAGAATCTTCACAAAGCTGAACAAGTTCTGGATTTACAAGTGACTCTCATCTACCATCTTGGTGTAAACCTGGGGTACCGTCACTAGAGATAGGTAAAAGCATCTGAATAAACAGAGGGTAGGTGAGATCAGAGCCCAGAAAATCCACGAGTAGAAAGATAATTGATTACCTTGTTCTGAAGAGTCCTTGAGCCTCTAAGTGACACTAGCAGTCTGTAGGAGCCATGCCTTCCCAGACAGGCTCTCCATATGGTGAAGAAAGCCCTGCCTTTCCTGGGTGTGCAGCACACTCAAGCTCTTTGCAAAGGTGAGTGAGAGGCCTATGTATGAAGTCAGGGAGACATTGACATGGAAGCTGTGATAGCTTAAGCCTACAAACTTAATAGGGTTTTGCTAATACAGGAGAGAGTGTTGGTGCTTGTGTACGGATATATTGTAATACTGCAGGTAATCAAAATCATAGTGAGCTGAGCCAGGGTAAGTAAGCAAATCTGCTGAGTGGAATACCCAGGCTCCTGGGCTTAATGCAGGGAGCAGGTCCATGCTTTTAGAGGTGTGCCTGACTCCAGAGCTAACAACTTGGTGTGCAAGGCAATCCAGAGTCGACAAAGCACATGGCTGGGACCATGTGTGCTGGCTTTTGTACTGACTGCTGCTACTGGAAAGAGCATGTGGATAGCTGTCGTCAGAGTTGTACCAAAGGAAAGCTCAAAATGATGCCAGCTTGGCTTTGTTTTTTTTTCTATCACTCAGCTGCACTGAAGCCTGACGCCTCTGGTAGCCAGTAGTGGAGCAGTGAGAAGCTGGTTTTGTGCTGCGCTTTTACGGGAGAAGCCTGGCTGCATTAACTCTTACTACAACAAGCACCTAGACAACTCGCACAAAACCCAGTGATGGAGGTCAGCTCCACAGAAGCCAGCAGCAGCTCCCAGGGAGGCACCGGCTGGCTGGATCTTACCCTTGTCACCTGTACTGAAACGGTGACTTTCACTGAAGTGGTGAGAGAAGAGGAGTGGGGATCCTTTTACTATTCCTTTAAGGTATTCTTTTAAGGCGTGCATTACTTTTCTCACATGCTTGCAGCTTTGGTGCATTTTCAGCAATTGTGTGGGGAGGCAACTAGGATTACTGAACTTTTTATGCCCAGACATCGGTGTTTTTTTACCCTGCAAAGACAGCTGACAATGTGTGAGGCATTTACTGAAAAGCAAAGTACTTGTAGGAATTGGAGAACGTGTCTTAGCCAACTGTATCCCCTCCCAAGAGAGGACAGTTTTGTAGAGATATTGTAATTATACATGCATGTTTAATCAAAAGCTTGTATGATTTTAACACATTTTAATGTAATTTCTTATAGGCATCATCGTGACATAAGGGATTTCTTTTCAATTTTCCAGCTGTAACAAACATTGCACACAAGTGAGAGGGGGGTTTTTTGTTGGTTTTGGTTGTTTGTTTGGGTTTGGTTTTTTGTTTGGTTTGGGCTTTTGTGGTTTTTTGTTTGTTTGTTTGTTTGTTTGTTTGTTTTTATCATGAGGGACAGCTTCTAATTAGTTGGTTTGTTTGTTTTTAACTTGAGAAGGGGATGTAGTCTCTTAAAGGCTGTTGTTAAGAATGCACCAGATGAGTCATTCAGTAGTGAATGCTGCCGAGCGGCATGGGAAGTATGTTCATTTGTCTCCAAAACCAACCATCACCCTGGCAATATGTGAATGTAGGAAAAAAGATTAAAGAGGTACTGAAATTTGTCTTTCCTTAAGATTTCTATGCCCATTGCTGTTGCTTAATTTCATGCTGATTGCCATGTCTCCCTTTACTGTTGTGGCATGTTGTACAAGTTAAGTTCAAGTTATTAAAAAGTCTGACAAGGAGTACCCTGTTGTTCCTTCTGGAGCTCAGGACCAAAGAGATCAATTTCAACTGGAAAGATGCAGGCACTTATATCATTTCACAACATGTGAGGTAAAAGGGGATATATTCAAAAGCAATTTTTACAGCTGTGAGATTGGTAGAGCTCAGACACAATGCTGGTGGAATCAGTGGAATTACTGCAGGTTTCCACCTCTCACAAAGAAAGAGATGATCTCTGGTTCTATTCTTAATTAATGAGGGCATCTTTTAACATGTTGCTGATACATTTTTTTATTGTTAAGATAGTACTTTCCTACTTAGGATTTCAGGGTAGAAAATTCTTTTTTTTTCTTTTTTTTTTTCCCCTTCTCCGTGTTAGACTCCTAAAATGCTTTTGAAAAAAATATCAGAAGTACCAAGCAAAATACTTTTAATAAATTTCTCTTTATCTCCTTTCTTCTTTTCGCAGTTAGGGCTGTAAATCTGAGCAATGTCATGGGAGAAGTATTTTATAATGGTAAAAGTGACAATTAATTTCATTATTAGAATGTCCCCAGGCAGAAAAATGCTTGTTAATCGGAGAGATTGAGTAAATTACAATAATTAGGAAACCATGGATAGTCATGCATGCTCACCCACTGCTAAAGGAAACTTGGTTCTGTTAGATGAGAGCTTCTCATTTGATTTGCACTCCTCTGCCAGATGCCTGGCTCTTGCATATATAGCATGAACTTTGCAAGGAGATTCACTGATTTCACGTCAATTACGAGCTGTTGATAGGCATGGAAATATTTTGACTCTGGAGACGAGTGACAGCTGGTGCAGCTGCAGGAAAGGAAGGAGAGAACACCTGCTCTGATGACTAGAGTGCAGGGAAGACGGGGCTCCCTGCCAGCAGTTTCAGTGCTCTGGAAAAGCTCACGTGTGGAAGGTATGGCTGGTACCTGTTGACTCGGTTGGCTGTCCTCCACCAGCTCTGCCCATGTTGTGGCCGTGCCCTCGTCCCCTCCAGCAAGCCAAACAGCGTCTCCTTCCTCTTCACAAGGGTCTGGTTAAGCAGCTAAAGCAATATAAGTTTCAGTTTGGAATCGGCTGTATGAATTTGAAAAACAGAGTTCTATGTTCGAAATGTAACCACAAACAGGGTTTTGCCCTTTAATTGGGATTTTCAAACACACTGTAGCCTCTAGCTGATTGTAAAGGCAGCTAGATGAGCGGCCACCACACAGGTTGATCTCAGAGCTTGTGTGCCAGGGTGCAGACAGGGCAAATAAGTTATTTCTTCTCAGAAAATGCAGGTGTAATGTATCTTATCAAAGCAGTCAGAGGAAAACATGATCTAACCTAATATATGGAGACCAGGGAGTGACACTCACCCAGTACCTGTGTTAATGACTTTTCAACAGTTTAATCCAATGACAGCTTTACAGGATACCTCACATACTGCTCAAACTATGGGAGCATGCACTGCTTTTTTCTTTTCCTCCCATGCTTCAAAAGGACAACCTGTACCCACCTAAGGTACTGTCTGGATTATACTGTGGTGGCAACGTGACAAAAGTAAAATAATGTGCCTTAGTGCCAGAAAGTCTTGTTACAGGCTGACCTGTGAGTGCTTCACTTTCGGAAGCATTGGAGTTTCTGTCTATTCCTCTGCTTAACAACTAAATCCTGCACTGTTTCAGATTACAGAGTGTTTTGCCAGTTCAGTCCTAATTTTTTTTTGGGGGGGGGGCTCAAGAATGGAGCATTTCTTTCACTTGGAGGAACACACATTTTCTTCTGGTGGTCATTACTGTAGAAGGGCCAGCTGCTCACCAAGGCTCTGCTAACAAAGTCTGTTTTGGGGCCATGTGGGCTCCCTAGGGTGGTTCTCAGCATGCAGAGTTACAGCTTTTGGGGCAGGACTATGTGTACCCATGTACGACTCACCATTAAAGATGAGCTGGTGCTTCCATGGCAAAGGCACTGCCTCATCCTTGCTAACATTCAGGTCTTGCTGCTGTGTTATGACAAATGGTCCCTGAAAGCCCAGATGCCTTTCCAAGAAGCATCCAGGTAGGTTACTGTCTTAAACCACACGTTCTGTTGTCTGTTTCAGCACCTAATTCAGAACAGATGTGCAAATTGGTATTAATTACAGCTTCAACCTTCCAGGCCAAAGGAGTGTTCATTACACCCCTTTACAATCTCCTCCACATGTGTTTAATCTATGTGTAAAAGGGCCCTAAGTGAGTGTCAACCACCCCCTGCCAAATGCAGTAGTCTAGAAGGAACAGAGGTCATCTGAACACCTATGGCCTTTTTCCACTTTACTCTATAAGCCTCACAACATACAAACCAGAAACCTGTCTGAGGAGAAGCTGAAATCTCAGAATAGGTTTGCCCCAGTTGTCCACAGAGTTGGAAGGCTTTGTCAGGGCTGGAGGAAGCAGCTCCTCTTGCCAAGTACTCACCACCCCAGAAGCTTCCCCCATGGTAGGAGAGGATTGAGTAGGGATCATCTCTCTTTTAAGAGATCTGCTGAGAAATGGGATGCCCTACTTTTATACAGTAAAGGTTAGAGTGCTCAAAAGGAGAAAATTCACAATCGCTATTTCTTTCTTGGTGGCACTGTGTTTCCACCATCATCTCCTGCCTCCCAGCAGAGTGGGCTGACTTCCATCAGGTAGTTAATTTTCTTATTTTGTTTTCTGCTGCACAGAGCTGAATCCCCCCCTGAGCAGCAGGACACAAAGGTTTTGTTGTTTACACCCACAGTCGCTAGGAGCCCCAATTCTCTCCTTTGCCAAGTGGGAATCCTAGCCACTGGTCCACACATTGACACCCCCCTCACTCTGGCCCATGAGCCCTGGTCATGAGCCCAGCATCACCACAGCAATGACACTGCAGTGTTAGAGCTCTCAGGAGGAACTATGTGCATATCAAAAGCACAACAGATTATTTTAAACGTATAATGTAAATTCCCAGTTTGTTTCAGGAAGGACTGTTTGATTCTCTGCCTGAAAATGTCCTCTCCCTACACTGTAGCATTCCCTGTACCTACATGTTTAAGCCCATGTAGCTCAGATATTAAACAGGACATCACAGCCTAGATTGAGTAAGGACAAATCTAGGAGCATGTGCTGCTTATCCATGGAATCTCTTTACAAAGCACCTACCATCTCCAGCAAAGACCTGAGGAGACCAACATGACAGGTTTTGTAGGACTATCAGGTACCATGGATTTGGCCCCAGGTGTCCTCAGAGCCTGTTTAAGTCAGAATCTGGTGTCCTTATCCTTTCATCCAAATGCAGGAGTTGCTTTATCTCCTGGAAAGCATTTGCTTATCCTATTGTTCATTCTGATTTTCAAGTAAATATACAGAGCATCCCATGCTTGAATACATAATAGGAAAATAATAATGGGTGCTGTCAAATTTCTGGAGTAATCTCTGCAAATGCAATCACACATTTTATAAAATAGACATATCAAATAATTCAGAGGTAACTTTGCAATCTTTCAGTGTGGGGAAAGGAGGAGAATTAAGTTTACACAAATAAGGTGTCAGGAACTCCTGAACACAGCCTCTGTAATATGCCATAATGACTGTTGCTATTCCTGAGACGCTGAGCTGAGACTGTTGGCCAGGCTGGCTTCATCTAGCAGCTTAAATGCAACACAGAAGGGATCTGGCAATATGACATCCCAACTGGGAGCTGCGCTGAGCCAACTAATTTGGGCAGTTTTGTACTAGCAACCCTCATACTACTGTCTCTATGGTCCACACAGCCACATGATTTGCATCTGTCTACCTCTCCTATATAAATATGCCTGGAAAGTTATATATTTTACATTTTTTGAGATGTTTTACTTGTACAAGTTAGGCATAGTTAGTAATTTTACTCTTTTTTGTGATTAGGAAAAACAGCATTTCACAGTTTTAAATATGGCTGTCAAAGTTATGCAATTATGGATGGACCATTGAGTGACCTAATATTATCTCTTCACATTGAAAATTCCTACAAAGAAAATAGTAAAAATATATCTTTCCTGATGACATTTAAATCAGGAATATCTGTTTATCTAATTCTGTGGAAGTTTCCTAGAGTGCAATGGGTAATAACTGGACAGAACTGTCCCCATTTATTAGTCATGTTGTACCAAAACACAGCAGAATGGTAAATATGAACTATCTGCTAGTAGAAT